TGTTCTCCAACCGGAAAGAGCCATCTTCTTTGCTGACAACTGTGAGGACAGAGTGGTAAAGCAAGCTACAGTTTAAAGTGTGACAGAGAACCACTTCAAAAACTATAGTTCGATATTCTACTGAAAACACGAGTCTTCTTTCGTGATTACCCTTGATCTGGTTGTTTAGGTAGACTGTAGCATCGGGCACACCTTCCCCATCAGGACTGTTGAGAACCCGGCCAGTCACAGAGAAGCCCATCACACGGAAGATGGGCTACACATAAAGAGACACAATGTCAAACTTGAATATTTTGCACAAAACTTGTTTCCTTTTGAAACCTGCTGATACACATTAATAATAACTATTTAAAAAAAATTAAGATAAACAATTCTCTTTACCTCGAGTTTCAAGCTGTTGTGTTCCACCTTGAAATTCATCCTAGAAGGAGCAACATCAAAAGTGATCCTTTCTCCTCTGTAGAAAGGTATCTGAAGTGAAGGATTTCACAGAAGCACATTTAGATGGAAAAACGATTACATCTCTAAGATAGAGGAGACAGAATTTCATTGTTCGCAAATAAAAATGATGCTTTCATAAAACCCATCATTCATACCACCTTGTCTCTTGTAGTTATATCGGTAAAAAAAGTTCATACACATGTAATTCCTGCACTGGATTCGGATTCCCTAGCTAAATGTGGGGTGGATTAGAAAACAGGAAACATAAAACATGTTGTAGTTGTCATTAAAATATATTGTAACACAATCCTATGAAAGTCTTTGTTTGGTTAATTGAAGTAAATCACCCAAACCTCTTTAAATGGCGTTAGAGCTGTTTAAATAGTTCAAATAGTAGTGTTGACGTCCAATTTTTGTGTGTGCGTCATCAAGTTTATAAAAGCTAGATTTAAATTTGCGCTGTTTTTGAAATACTGAGAGGAGTAATGGAATAACGAGTACCTGCTGTGAGTGGTTGAATAAGGAGCTGTGAGTTTCATCACCTCTAACTCCTCAGCAAGATAACAACTGACTTTACCGTGTCTCGCTCCAACTCTCCTGTTTACTTTCTATTCAGGTTCCAATGTATTCAATTAGGAGTGAAGCAGCTTTGACTGATAGGTGGACACCGATGCAGGTGGCTATTCTGGCAGCTGTCTGCTAAGCTTGACCTCAGCCAAGCCAAGTCACTGAACATGAACTCAACCATTTTTGTGCTCTTGGTGCTTTTCAGAGATTAATAAGGCTGTATTTGTGGTCCGGTTTTCGGATCAAATTGTAGTACTCTATTTGTTTGTTATGCAGCGCTAATTAGCGTGTATCTATGACTGTCTAATGCCCTGTTAGAGTTAATGAATGTAACTTGCTGGCGCTATCTGATAATTAAACACTCCACCCTCTCATCCAGAAATAGGAAACATGGAAGCAGCCAAATAGAAGCTTCAACATAGGAATTCACAAAGCAGAAAATGATGTAGCTAATCTTATGGCACGAAGGAAAAGACTTCCTTATTAAATCAAAGTAGCTGCACTGTGTACATATACATCATTTGGTCTTCTGTTGTATTTCTGACACAAAAAAAAAAATGACAGCAGTCTTCTGTTGGCTTTTGCAACGATAACTCACCACAGTGTACTCGCCGCTGGCTAACGAAGGAAAGACAAAGACACCATCATCTCTGGACAGAGCGCTGCACAGGTAGGCCAGCGTGCTGTCCCCAGAATCTGCACCCTCCACTGGGGAAGTATTACAGCCACTTATGTCCTGGAAATGACAAACATTGAAATTGAACCAATGGAGCAACGCGAAATTCAGCATATTCCAGAAATTACAAGACGAGGAAAATGTGTTAAGTTAAAGTAAAGTGTTAAAGATCATTTACATATAATGTAGGACGGATATGAAAAGTCAACATATTTCTGTTCAAAAATGGAAATTATGGAGGTTTACCTCTCTCTTGACTGTGGCTGAGTAAAGTAGGAAGGTGACCTCTTTCATGGGCTCTCCATCACTGCGGACCTCCCCCGAGACATCGTAGCCTCCAACCACCAGATGGTCAACGGCCGGGGCATTTGCATTGGAGACGTGCACTGAGGTAGTACTCTATATGAAGATGGCAGAGGTCGCCCATAAGTTGCATTATGAGATGGAATAATGGCCCTGTCAGGTTCACTGTGATTACTGCTGGAGCTCATTAGTTATAACCTTGCTCACCTGACAAGGAACTGTATCAGCTAAGCAAGTAGGTGAATAATGAAGTTTTCTACCCTCAAGCGATACAGAATCAAACAGACCTCTGAGATCATGCATTCTCTACAGTATTAATGACAGTACTTTAATTGGAAACTGGGACGCTGTCGTACTGAGTATGATGGTAGGTGGGTATGGGGGGGAAATAATGTGGGAGAGCTTATTCGCATCATCAATTACAAATCTGACAGTGCATTTTTGTACACAGAGATTTTAAATCTTTCACTAAAAGTTTACCACACTCTTTTTCCATCTAATTTTAACATCAGATATGAACCAAGTTACACTTTGTGTCATTTATTTTACAACTTGTAAAGTCCAGCTTTCTTCAACAGTCCAAAGACATGATAAGTCATTAATTCTAAATGGGGTTTGGTGGATGTAAGATGTAAAAAACTGACATGAGGCACTCATAACAGAACATGGGCAACACGTTTTTAATGCAACGTGCAGTTGCAATATCGATTGCCTTATAACAACGTGAACAAACCTGTTCGAGAGTCCAGGAAGGATGAGAAGCTGTGATGTCATACTTTCCTGGTAGTACTTTAAAGAAGGTATACCTGTGTAAGCAAAAAACCACAAAAAAAAGAAAGAAAGAGGCAAGTTCATTTCAAACATCTGTATAATGCAGAAACAAACATAAACACAGATGAACACAAAGGTGTGAGTAACTTACTTTCCTCCAGGCTGTGTGGTGACACTCTGGAGCTTCTCCCCTGTTCCGGCTCGGCTGAGTTTGACTTCCACGCCAGCCGGGCCCATGAGATGGCCTTTACTCAGAACCTGAGCAAAACACAATATATTTGAGGAAACTAGACACTAATCACCACTTGATACTACTATTTATTTTATCAATAACCTTTGTTGCATTGGTTAAAGAAGCTTTAAAGCACTCCAAAGTTTTCTTGCATTTAGATAAACCCCATCAAATGTGTCAAAGCACTTTTTTTTAAATCACACATTTTGCAAAGTAGACAGTCTTAACTCTTAAACTTTCTGTCTACATACTATAACAATCTAAATTTATTTTCAAGAAGACCATTCTCACCGTTCCTGACACCGAGAATCCCGTAAAAACAAAATTGATGTCTTCTTCTTTCGTACAAATGTCACTGACTCCATCCACATGCAGGTCGACACTGGTAGGCTCTGATGACAGTTAAAAGTCCAAAAGGAAAAGAGACCAGAGAATATGGGACAATGCACAATGGCTTTTATATGATAATTTGTGAATTATGGGGATGTTTCTGTGAGAGTCTTACCAAAGCTCCACCCAAGCGGAGGCTCGATCTTCAAAACAAAATCTCCCTGCGTTAAAGTGACAGCTTGATTATATTCACCATCAGTGAAAGAATTAGTTAGAGCTAATCAAATCCGTTGCTGGCATACCTTGTCATAGAGAGGGATCATGAAGTAACCATTGATTGGAGCACAATCCGTTTGATATTTCAGTGATCCTTGTTTGGTATATAATTTAATCTGAGAATGAAGAACACACAGTGATCATTAATCATAATGAAAGTTATTATAGTGATCATACTATAATAACTAAACTGAGCGACTTATGTTAGCTAGCAACAAAGAAACAATCTAGTCTGTTGGATTTAGTTCATTTCAATATCTTAATTAACCAAATTGCTAATCCCATGTAGCCCGTGAAAAAGAAGGGATTAGGACGGGAGCACTTACTCATCAACGCCTGCAGGTTTTAGGATTAGCAGTGAATGCCTTGTGTGATATATGGATATTAATGCTGAGTTACCATCAGCTATCTAGTAAGTAGCTAAATCAATGTCAAACAAGACCAAACTCACAAATGTTTGCGAGCAATCAGAAACAGATTAAACACAAATACACTGCTTTTCTATTCATTTCATTCAAACTGTCATTGAAACAAAAAACTCCGCCCAACCTTTAGCTTTCTACCACAAACCAGCTAGCTGCTGGTTAGCTGCTAGCACGCTAGCCGGGACATTTGCACTCTCACCTCGATCAGAGAGTAATTGATTTCAACGTCGGATTTCACGAATCCACCGCATGCCACAACTATATCATCAGAGGATACGGCCAAGAACTGAGAGTAGATGACACCGAACAAAATCCAAAGGGATCCCATTTCTGCCCGGATCGTAATTCTGAGCATGTTGACTGGTTGAGCCAAGCAACCGCACGCTGCCTCCGGTTCCGTACCAGCTGAGGGGCTGTCAATGAACTGTCACAGGCGGCGTCTGCAGCGACCTCTGGCGGGTAGGAGGTGCCATTTTCTCCGTCGCTCACGGCCGCTTGTAACATTTTAAGTTGTATCACTGCCCTCTTCTGGTTAAAGTTACAAACGTCTACGTTTTTACCGAACCCTAACATCCCTGATCCATTTTCTAACATCTCGGTTGTTGGAGAGGACATTGCTTTTTCATATTCTGGAAGTATCATACCCTGCAAAATACTCTACTTAAAGTAGGAGGAGAAAAATACCAATTAACTCATCTATAGTGTTAGCGTATTGTGTAGCGTATTCGGCCTTGTAATTATTCCATTTACTTTTTCAATGGCCAATTTGTAATCTTATTACCCTCTCCTTGATTACCCTTTATCACTTTTTATATATCATCCAACTGCCTTTTGTCATAGCACCATGACAGAGATTTTACCACTATTTGACTATTCAAAATAGTATTTCACATTCACTTATATCAGTTTGTTCCATAAAATATCTGCATGATGAGACGAACAGAGTGAGACTTTAAAAAAAAAATTAAATGAGAAAATATATTTGGGAAAACATTTATTTTATATGTACAGTACCCACAATCAAATTAAGGCATCATGAAAGTACAAGAGTATTTTCACCCAAATCTGACAAAAAAAACCAAAACAAAACAGAAGAGACATTGTTAATAACATGCCCACAGTCCAGAAGATATTTTAAAAAGGTACTAAAACTAAGTAAAAAGTAGTGTTAAAAGTCATTTCATTCAAAATGTATTAGGCACAGTCATAAATATTCATTTGCATATGTAACAACACCCACAAATAAACAAGTCAACAAGGAAGCTGTAGTAAAAAAACAAACCAAACCCCCAAAACCCTGCGTTAATACATTTAAAGTGCTTGAGATTGAGAAAAGTTTTAAAAACAAGTCCAGTAGTAGAATCGAAGTCCTTCTCAGAAGGAAAAGATTACATGCAAGTAAATACACTGCAGCTCAACAAAAATAAAGTTTTGATTAAAGGAAAAAAATATTTTTGAGATTGTCAATTCATATATTCACAAATATTCAGACTGTTTTGTTGGACAAACAAACAAACAGCAAAAAAAAAAAAACACTAAAAAGGTCAGAAGCATTGTGAACAGGATATTTGTTTACATTGCAGTGTTTTCACAGTTAATTAAAAACACATTTAAGATATTAGTCTGAAAAGTTCAATTGTCTGCTTAGACAATTAGACAATTCTTCAAGCAGACAATTGAAGAATTGTCTAAGCATGCATCTCTGCTTTGTTCAGTAAAATAAGGCCTTTGCCTTAAACTTGAGTGGAGGAGCTTGGAGCTACATGGGCCAGGAACACCGCATCATTGAAATTGGTGGCGAAGCTAGTGTGGTAGCTAGGACTGCTTCTGCTGCTGCTGCGGCGGGGTTGGAATTTGGATTGTGGGGATCTCACACCTGAGCGCTTCTGGGCCTGGCACAGCTTCTGAATCAGGAAACGCCGGTCGCGGCCCTCCTGATTGACAAATTAACACAAACAGATTTCCGTTCACACTGCATTTGGCAATAACTGAATTGATAACAAGAACACACAGAGTACGCAACTCCCCTTGAAGGACAAGAGCTATAATAAAACTTTGACTTTTTATGATGTTTTTATTACTGATATCGTACAGAACATATTGAAAAAATAAGGTGTGTTATACAGCTATCTCCATGCTATTTCATATAATATTACTTAACATGGTTTCTTGGAATTTTAAATTAAGTCAACTTTGATCTTGAGCGCTAAAAATGAAGCTCACATGCTTAGCCAGATTAGGTACTAATGTTCCCCAAGGCCTAGTTGTGAAGTTTAAAGACAATCCATAAAAAACTGTTGATAATATAGGTTTTACTGATTTTCACATTTTGTGTAACTTCGACTAGATTTTCACCATCAATAAATTAAGCCGTTATCTGTATCTACAATCACACAAAATTTGAAAACGATATCTTTAAAAGTGTGGGCACTAGACTTCTAACAAACAGGACCAATTACATACTCCCTCCCTTTGGGGGGAGAATAAGACCTACCATTTCTAGTTGGTGTCTTAGTTCATTAATGACCCTCTTGTGTGCTCCAGCAAGTGCAATCACATAAAACATGGCCAAACTGGAAAAAAAACAAAGTATAAAATTACAGCAGAGGAAAAACAATGTTAAAAAGGAGAAAAAATATATAATAAGAGGACCAACCATGTGATAACAAAGAAAGAGACAGCAAAGGCCTCTGAAGAGAGAGCCCAGAGAAGCTGTTCGACTCCTTTGGGTAGCTGAGAAACTGTATCTGGCACCACGTCCCAGGAGGTTTCGTAATTAACAAAAGGTCCACAGGCCCGAGAACAGTTTATCCTGTACAAAAAAAGAAGTAAGAGTTCTTATATTTATCCATATTAAAAAAATAATAATTATATTGCAGTGGCCAGATTTTGACCTTTGGCATTAATATTTCTGCTAGAGGTTCTTTTAAAGCTCCATACAAACTATACAAATTTAATTAGAACACAGTATGAACATTACTCACTGTGCTATACTAGCTATGACAGGCACACAGGCAAGACTCAGGCCGATCAACAGCACGCCGAGGAAAAAGAAGTTGGAGCTGGATGCTCGGAAAGGACGTGTGGCTGGACGACAGTTTTTGATTAATGATACCTAGCAAACAAAAATTTG